AATTGGAGGAAATCTCTAAGGGAATCTGATCAAACATGTAAGAGCCCACATTAGAGATTACCTCATGGTGATAAGGGTAGTGAAACAGCAATATTTTTCCACCTTCATTGTTCAGCAGCCATGTTTAAGGTGACCTGGTCATTATTGGTTAGAAAGAGCTCCTCAGAACTTCTGTTGAGCCACTGAGAGGATTATTCAGGCTCTCTGAGCCTTCCTACAGATAGCTGCTATATGTCAGATCTTGTGGGGTGATTCTAGGACTTTCCCTAATCCAGGAAAGCCATATAAACTAAGGGAACACAGTTCCCTTGTTAGTAAACCTTCAGTTCAGAAAAATCTCCCTCTAATGGAGTTTTCCCTTGGACTGGCCAGTCAGTCATCTTCACTGGAAGCTGGCACCCAGAACGGTGTGGGACATACATAAAACACCCTTGCAGGTACTCTGCCGTGGGGTCCTGCATCAGAAACTGAGGACATCCCATCAATGCTTGGCTTGGCTGAGGTTGGCCAAATCCAATCCTGATCCCCTGAGAGGCACTCTGTTAACGCCTCTCACACACATTTATCTCTGGTATCTCTGGTTCTGTCTTGGCCAGCTCTTTTGGCCAGTGTCTCTGTTTGGATTGGCTTCACAACCCCTAACACCTAGGTGAACTACACCTATCTGCCAGGTCCAGAACTAGCAAGACAGACTAGGATTTTGGCAAGAAATGTGGCCTGTGGCTCTGTCCTGCTCCATACCCCATGCCTCTGCATTGAGCACACTGGGGATCTCCCCTTGCCTGTCCTGCAGGACCAGAAGGACCAATAGTGGGATTCATTTTTTTTACTACTGGTTCTGTGGGCGTGGCTTGATGGGCGTGGTATCGCTTGGTAGGCATGGCAGGGGAAGGATACTGTAAAATTTCCATTTCCTCCCCACTCCAGGGGAAGGTTAGTGCAAAATCCCCATTTCCTCCCCACTCCAGGGGAAGGTTAGTGCAAAATCCCCATTTCCTCCTGATCAGCTGGGACTTGGGAAGCAGAGTATAGATGGGGGCGGGCCAGTCAGAGTTGGTACTTACCAGTTTTCTGAACTACTCATATTTCCACCTGGCTTTCAAGTATCACCTCTGACTGGTCCCGCAGCCGCAGGACCCTGCCATGCCCACCTGGCCTGTAGGAGCCCAGGGCTAACTTTCCAAAAAAGGCTCCTGGAACAAACTATGGATAACAATAATCACCCTCCTCCTCTCACTTGGGCCCTTCCCTGTGTCAATCCTGGGGCTGAAATGCTACTGGCTTGCTCTGGTTTGGGGCGAACTGGTAGTAATAAAAACTACTGGTTCGGGCGAACTGGTTGAACCGGTAGTTTAAAAAGCTACCAGTTCAGGTGAACCAGTATTTTAAAAAAGCTACCAGTTCCTCCGAACCGGTATTTCTGATGATCAGAAATACCTTATTTCTACAGAAATAAGAGCCTTGGTGGCGCAGCAGACTGGTGCTGTTAAGTAGCACCAGCTGCCTGCAATTACTGCAAGTTCAAATCTCACCAGGCTCAATGTTGACTCAGCCTTCCATCCTTTCGAGGTAGGTAAAATGAGGACCCGGATTGTGGGGGCAATAAGCTGACTTTGTATAAAAAAGAACACTGCTTAGGGGGGCTGAAAGCCCTACTAAGCAGGTATATACAAAAGTATGAAGGCTATTGCTTAACGCATTGTAAGCCGCCCTGAGTCTCCGGAGAAGGGCGGCATTTAAATCGAACCAATAAATAAATAAATAAATAAATAAATAAATAAATAAATCAGCTGTGCTGCGGGGTTTAGCTTTGTTAGAAATCGCGCAGCACAGCTGATCCCCTCTTCGTTGTTCTACTTACCTTCCCAAGCCTCCTTTTGCTGTGTACTGCACATGCGCAGCCAGCGAAATGGTAGCAAACCGGTTCAGATTTCACCACTGCTCAAACCCAAGAACCAGAGTGGACACATTTCCAACAGAGATGGGCTTTGTCTTTTTTTGGCACAACCAGGCTTCAATGAAATGTCACAAATAACATCATGGAAGGGAGCAACCTTGTTACTGTACCTATCAGCGTGGCACTCAAAAGCAACACCCGGAACCCAGAGCCATCAAGGATCTAGTAACTAGGCACTGAGAGTAAAAATGATATTCTGTTGAGTGAGACAACTTTCAAGTTGTGGACCTGGGATATGGGCCATCTCGGTTCCTGACCACCAGGAAGGACCTACATATGCCCTCAGCTCCCTTCTCTCATTCAAGACCCCAGTTCTCCTTTCTAGGCCAAGTTTTCCCTCCCACAGATAAGACATATAATCCCTCAACAATTGACCCAGATAAATCAGGAACACTTAAACCTTCAAAGCATTTGGAGCAGGGGTGAAATGCTACTGGTTCTGAAATGCAGTCGGTGGTTCGGACAACTGGTAGCGGCAGCAGTGCGAGGCTCCATCCGTACATTGTTCCTTCCTGGTTTTAATGAGGAAGTAACCTGTTTTTTACCCTCTGCACATGTGCAGAAGGATTTATGCATGTGCAGAGGGTCCAAACATGCATGTGACATGCGTGCAGAGTGTGCACTTCCACTCTGTAAGGAAGGTAAGTAGATTTCACCCCTGACTTGGAAGTCTTTTGTAGTGTTATGCAGGTTGTCAGGTGTGACTCGGTAAAGGAAAGACAAAGTCCAGATTTGTCTTGATAAGCCAAATGTGTTCATTCAGCTGAATAAAGATGAGTCCTCCCTAAAGGTGGAGGAACCCTGAACACAGTGTGAGACAGATATTTATACATTTCTTTGCTTTTGCCTGGTTGCATAAGACATAGCTGGCACAGAGCAGATAAAATCCCGTTGGAAGGAGAAATTAAAAAGAAAATTTTAGAATGTGCAGAAATGAACAGATTAACATTGAGAATAAAAGATAAAGAGTCAATGTATTTCAAGACATGGGATCAATTTTATGATTGGTTAGAAAAGAAATATGAATAAGGATGTAGAAATAAAATAGATAGAGAATAGATGGGAGAAAACAATTAGAAAAAAAAATACCCAGATGATCTTCGCACCTTCCGTCGCGCGCTTAAAACGTTTTTATTTCATCAAGCTGGCCTGGCCTAAATCATCTCCTCTTTTAAATTTAAATTTTAAACATAAATTTTTAATCTGTTTAATTATGGGGTATTTTAAAATTCAGCCTAAATTATTTAATTTGTTTTAATTTATTTTAGATTTTGTATTTCCTGTGTTTTATCTTCTGGCTGTTCACCGCCCTGAGTCCTTCAGGAGAAGGGAGGTATAGAAATTTAATAAAATAATAATAAATAATGTCAAGTAAAAGGAGAAAGGGGATGGGGGGTAAAAGGGAAAAAAGTGAGATATTATAAAAATGTATGCAAATGATGAAATAAAAATAAATAATAATTGAATAAGAAATTGAAATGAGAATAAAGATAATTAGGAAATCGGGGCTGCTCGAATACCACTTTAGATTGATCTGAAAAGGGAAACAACAGGAGAGAGGGGAAGGAGTAGAGAGAGAGGAAGGGAGAGGTGAGGTGAGGTGAGGTGAGGAGAGGAGAGGAGAGGAGAGGAGAAAGAAGAAAGGGAAAAGGAGAGGAAGAAAAGGGAGGGAAAAGAGGAGTAGAGGAGAAGGTTAGAATTGGGGAAGAAGAGAGGAGTGGAGGAAGAGAAGGGGAAGTAGGAAAGAGAAGGAGAGAAAGAACGAAGGAAGTAGGAGAAGAGATAGGAAGGAAGAGAAGGGGAGGAGAAAAAGAAAGGTTGGAGTAAAGGTAAAGGGTAAAAAAGCAGTCCTGAAAAAGTAAAAATGAAAGTTAAAAGAAAAGATGAATGAAAAATGATGAAAATGACTGTACGTGTAAATGTGTTTATGAGAAAAACAAGCAACCAGTGGTGTTGTAAGGCCTGCCAGAATTCTTCCTTCTTTGCAGAGGGTGGCTAGCAATAGGGAGAGAGAGAGGATCGAGCCAGAAGACAGGCTGAGGTCTCAACTAACAATCAAGTGTGCTGGGAGGCCTACCAGAATCCTTTTCCCCTCTACAGCAGACAGATAATAATAGGGAACCTGAGAAAGCTGGGCCTGTAACACGAAGCCAAGCAGCTAGGAGGAGGAAGCAGGAAGAAAAACTGCTGTCCTCCAATCAGAACACAGAGTTGCAGGCTAGCCAGCATACGTCAGCAGCAGCAAATATAGATAAGCGACAGCTCCGGCCCCGCAACAGAGAACCCATAGCTTCTACATGAAACAGAGCCTGAAGATGACAGGGTTGTGAGCCTGTCGAAACGTTGCTTTAAGAAAAACTTTGAAAGTCACTGGTAGGATTTTAGCTGAGGTTTTAAAGGACCTTGCAGAGTGCTCTGTAAGGAATTTTAGAAGATTTTAAGCTGGGATTTTAACCAGGATTTTAAATATTTTAACCAACTTATTTATAATGATGTGGGAAAACACCCGAGATTTTAATTTTTTGCATATGCACACCCGCGAAAACTTAAGAAGACATATATATATAGGTCTTTGGTTATTCGGGTTTTCTCCCGCGTAAAATTGGAGGTTTCTTACGCGGGAGAAAACCCGAATAACCAAAGACCTACATACAAACACCCGCGAAAACCTCAGAAAAAATATATATATATATAAATAAATAAAAGTTTAACCTTGCCATCTTAACCTTTGAGCAATCATGAAATTCATCAGATTCCTGATCAACAGTAGGAGGTTCATATAAAGCCTCAGAAATGGGAATGTCACAGGAATGCCACCTCACAAAATATATGCACACAACCATACGAAGGGCCACCAGGTCCCCCTAAACCAGTTTCTAGGTGAGTGTAACAAGAAACCAGGTTGCAGCATCCACCGTGATTTTAGGCACAGCTGCCATCTCAGTTGCAGACCAGATGGCTCATTGTTTATTTTTATAAAGTAAGAAACCTCAAAATATAAAGGATCTTAATGTCTTACATGAATACGGGTAACATAGTGTCAAGGAAGAAAAATTATATCCACTTTTTAAATTTTAATTTAAATTATCTACATTAATACATAAAGAAAAGACACAGACTGTAAATGAAAAAAAAGAAATCTGTACATTTTGTAACTTTCTCCCTATTTTCCCATCCAAATCTGGCTGGAGGTGTTTCCTTGCTCTCCTTACATGGATGACACAAAAATCTTGAGTCCCATATAACAAAGAACCCCAATTTCAGATAAACTACCATACAACTAAAATAATGGCATTATTTTACAGTCCCCATCACAATTATTTATGGCATATCAGCAAGATTTCCATTGCATGTGTCATTTTTAAAATATCATCGGGGACATTTCAGGACTCAAGTAAGCTAAAGACACAGGACAAATATGATAGCTCAACTTCTCAAAAGAGTTCAGTGATCATCTTGCAATTCTACCCTAAGAGGATGGAGGATACCATTATCCAGCCATACTTTAATTTTTCATTCAAGCAAAATCATTGGCCTACTCATGCATGGAGAAAATCATGGAGCATTTCCTAGATTTGGCCTATTGGAAATTCCTCTATCTCACATTTCCACATTTTTTTCTGGCTGTAAGATGCTCCTTTGTATTCAGCTCTGACCTCAGAATGATAATGTAGCACTTGGGGATGAAGATGCAGCCCAGCAGACCAGCACTGGAGGCCAGGATTGAGAAGACCTGCACAGCCACCATGTATTTCCCTTTGGTGCTCAGGTAGGTGGGCACAAAAGTGACCCAGACACTGCAGAAGACCAGCATGCTGAAGGTGATCAGCTTGGCTTCGTTGAAGGCCCCAGGCAGATTCCTGGCCAGGAATGCTACTGTGAAGCAGATGGCAGCCAGGAAGCCCAGGTAGCTGAGGGTGATGTAGAACATGACATCAGAACCCTCATTACATTGCAGGATGATCTCTCCAGGCTGAGAGTGGAGATCAGAGTCAGGAAATGGGGGAGATACTCCCAGCCAGATTGAGCAGATGATAAATTGGACACTAGAACAAGAAAGGATGATGGAGTTGGCCAAGCTCTTCCCCAACCATCTCTTCACTTGGTTGCCTGGTTTTGTGGCCAGGAAAGCCAGCACCACTGTGATGGTTTTGGCCAAGAGAGAAGAAATGGCAACTGAGAAGATGATGCTGAAAACTGTTTGTCGGAGAAGGCAGGTGGCTTTCCTTGGTTGACCAATGAAGAGGAAAGGAGACAAGAAGCAAAGCAGGAGGGAAGCCAGGAGGATGTAAGAGAGGTCTCGGTTGTTGGCTTTGACCATGGGAGTTTCTCTGTATTGAATGAATATGATTAAGAGAAGGCTTGTGGTTAGGAACAAGAGTAGTGCAAAAGAGGCCAGGATGATGCCCAAATGTTCTTCGTAAGACAGGAAGGATTGAACTTTGGGGATACATTGGACTCGGTCCTTATTTGGATATTTGTCATCTTGACACTTGGTGCATTTTTCTGTATCTGAGAAAACAAAAAACACAAGCAGTATTTCTTTAATATTCTGTCCATTTACATTTCAAAGAATACCTTCTTGGGACAACAACTGATAACTGGAGGTTTCTCAAGATTCTTATCATCGCTAGAGAAAGAAGATGAGAATAATAAGAATACCGTTTTCTAAAAAAAAGAAGAAGCTATATTTCTAATAATCTGTGAAATTGGGAAGCGTCCTGGGTTCACAGTGAGTTCTAATGTAATGTGCAGAACCTTCATATTAAACCTACATTATTGGAGGTAAGCAGTGAATCTTTTAATCTTTCTAGATTAATTATGAGCATTTTCACAAAAGCATTTGTTAGCGGTAGAACCAAAACATAAAAAAAGATTAAGAAATACATAACTCTCTCTGTACGTGTGTGTGTTTGTGCATGCATGTGTGTGTGTGTTTGTGTGTGTGTGTACACACATTGCTAAGGTCTATCAAATTAGAGGAAGTCCTAAGAGATAAATAATTTCCTCTGTAATGTGAAGAGCCCTCATAGAAAGCTACATAAAAAAACCCTCCCTTTTCACAACCATGTATTCCCTTAATTCAGGGTAAAGTCAGATGACTGGACAGAGCATTTACTGGCCAGATGCCCTTCCTGATGCCACATGGAGTTCACATCAGATATATTTTCTTTGCTCCCTCTGAGAAAGAAATATCTGCCCCTACTAGACAACTCAGTATCAACAGTAGAGACCTTCAAATTTCTAGGTTCTACCATATCTCACGACCTAAAATGGACACCCAACATCAAAAAAGCACAACAGAGAATGTTCTTTCTGTGCCAACTCAGAAAGCTCAAACTGCTCAAGGAGCTGCTGATACACTTCTACAGAGGAATTATTGATTCAGTCACCTGCACCTCTATAACTATCTGGTTTGGTTCTGCAACCCAACAAGACTGACACAGACTTCAGAGGATAATTAGAACTGCAGAAAAAAACATGGCTACCAACCTGCCTTCCATTGAGGACCTGTATACTGCACGAGTCAGAAAGACTGCTGTGAAAATATCCTGGACGTAAATTGTTTCAACTCCTACCCTCAAAAAGACACTATAGAGCACTGCACACCAGAACAACTAGACACAAGAGCAGTTTTTCCCTGAACGCCATCACTCTGCTAAACAAATAATTCCCTCAACACTGTCAAACTAGTTACTAAGTCTGCACTACTATTAATCTTCTCATCGTTCCTACCATCCATCTCCTTCCACTTATGACTGTATGACTGTACTCTTGTTGCTTGTATCCTTACGATTTATATTGATATTGTTTCCTGATTGCTTATTTGTACCCTATGACTATCATTAAGTGTTGTACCTTATGATTCTTGATGAACATATATTTTCTTTTATGTACACTGAGAGCATATCCACCAAGACAAATTATTGTGTGTCCAATCACACTTGACCAATAAAAAATTCTATTCTATTCTATTCTATTCTATTCTATTCTATTCTATTCTATTCTATTCTATTCTATTCTATTCTATCCTATCCTATCCTATCCTATCCTATCCTATCCTATCCTATCCTATCCTATCCTATCCTATTCTATGTCACTTCCCACTTGAATCAATATATCTCCATCCCACTTCTCCTTTAATTATTATTTATTTATTTTTTTACTATTCCTCCCTATGGATCATGGGTGTCAAACTCGTGGCATCAGGTTGCCATCATGTGATGTATCGTGACATTTTTTTCCCTTCCTGGAGCTGTGGAGGGTGTGGCCTGTGCATGATGCACCCATCCTGAAAATTAACAAGAAAGCAGCTGAGCTCCAAACTGTCTTTTAACTGTCCTTTTCTTTGGTGTCATCCACCTTCCTGAGTGGAGATGGTCCCCTCTGGACAAGGAACACAGTCATAGCAGCAAACTGGCTCTCCTTCTCGAGCCCTCTTGACAAATCCAGGGTGGCATTTCTCCACACATTTGGACCGAGGGGGAGACTAAGCAGAAAAACAAAGCATTCCAAAAGAAAATATGTTAGCATTAACCATCCTAACATGTCAACATGCTCTTGAAATAAGACTAAAAAGGAGTGTACAGTTTCTAGAACTATAATGATATGAGATAGAGGTGAGGTCATGAAAACATATCGCTCAAAAACCGTAACTCTTTTGCTGCAGCGTGTGGGACATGTGTATAAACCCTGGGTCAGAAAGAGATATTTCTAAAGCCCAGCTAGGCATCCAAAAATGTTCTTTTCTGCTGAAGAACTACAACTATGTAATAACCAGTGGTGGGATTCAAAATTTTTTACTACCGCTTCTGTGGACATGGCTTGGTGGGCATGGTGTGGCTTGGTGGGTGTGGCTTGGTGGGTGTGGCAGGGGAAGGATACTGTAAAATCTCCATTCCCTCCCCACTCGAGGGAAAGGTTACTGCAAAATCCCCTTTTTCTCCTGATCAGATGGGACTCGGGAGACAGAGAATAGATGGGGGTGGGGCCAGTCAGAGGTGGTATTTACTGGTTCTCCAAATTACTCAAGAATTACTGGTTCTCAAGAACTGGTCAGAACCTGCTGAAACCCCCCTCTGCTAATAACACCTAGCATAGAAGAACAAACCCATTTTCATTATTACATACATTTGGAGCCTCCTTTTATTTCAGAATACTTGAGGCAGGTAACAATCAAGACAAATAATTTGCATTCAAGAGGTTTTCAGATGGGGTGGCCTCTTACAATACTGCCTAACCGGAATCTAGGCAGTATTTCCTTTTAAATTATCTCTTATTATTTCAAATATCAGGAAGGGCTTTCTTCTGAATCAAAGTCATGTTTCAGTGCTTCAGTTTTTTGGGTCAGGGCATTATCTCTCATCCAAGCATGATTCTATGTGAACATAAATTCTTGGATTTCCTTCATAGGCCTTTTGCCCTATCCCAATGGGGTGTAAAATTGGACTAGATAACTCTGGCCAGGTCTGGGTTTCTTAACAACTTCTTGCCCTGTCCTTTTATGGGACACTGGACCCAACCAGGACAAGGTGAATCCCAATTCCAAAGTTAATTTGTCACTGGGCAACAGGACCTTCATCCAGTGCTGATTCAATTTCATTGAATTCAGTCCAAACCTGAACTCAGGCCCTGGTCAACAAATGTGTTGCCTTCTTTGCAATTTGCAGACAAGGAAGAAGCAAAGCTGAGGCTATCACTGAGCACTTGAGGGCCTCTCTTACCATTTTCATGTGGCTTCTCCATTTCAACACTTAACCATGGTGCATAGAGTCCCTTTCTGGACTGGGACTCCCTATGCATGGTCACTCAAGCACTTGTCACTTCTCGTCTGGACTATTGTAACGCTCTCTACATGGGGCTCCCCTTGGGGTACACACGGAGGCTCCAACTGGTGCAGAATGCGGCTGCGCGGGGGATTATGGGAGCGACGGGGCGCTCCCATGTGATTCCTCTCCTGCGCGAGCTGCATTGGCTTCCGGTGGACTTCTGGGTGCGCTTCAAGGTGTTGGTGATCACCTTTAAAGCGCTCCATGGCTTAGGGCCAGGGTACTTACGGGACCACCTTCTGCCACCAATAGCCTCCCACTGGCCGGTTCGCTCCCACAGAGAGGGCCTTCTCAGGGTGCCGTCGGCCAGACAATGCCGGCTGACGACCCCCAGGAGGAGAGCCTTCTCTGTGGTGGCACCTACCCTATGGAACAATCTACCCCCAGAGATACGAGTGATCTCCGACCTCCGGATTTTTTGTCGGGCCCTAAAAACTTATTTTTTTCAGTTAGCCGGTCTGTCTTGATTTTAGGGTTAGTTTTAAAATTTTAATATTGATTTTAATTGACAAGTTTTAAATTATGGGCCAAATTTATAAATTATTTTAACTTTATTTTTAACTGTGATGTTATATATAGATGTTTTTATCTTGGCTGTTCACCGCCCTGAGTCCGAAAGGAGAAGGGCGGTATAGAAATTTGAAAAATAAATAAATAAATAAATAAATAAATAAATAAATAAATAAATAGGTTTATCCCAATTGAAATGGATTGGAACCCTTTGCAAAATAGAGAAGGGACATCAATATTTGTCTCACCCTGCTGACTGACTTTAGCCGTGACACATAATCTTCAACAATGATGAGTCTCTTTTTTTCAAAAGACAACAGTTTCTCCATGAAGGCACCCTCCTTGATGGAAAACAGCCAGCTCGTGATCTCTAGATCAGCTGCTAAATCTCCATTTTGGTCCCAGTACAGTTCAAATTCAGAAAAATTGATGTACTCGTTCTTCTCCAGAAAGGGATGGAACTAGAATGGGAATCCAGGAATTTTAAAAGATAGTAAACTTGGCAACCTATTCCTTTTTGTCTGTTCTCAATTGAACCTTTCTTGTACAAGGATCTAACTTGCAAATATTCTTAGTTGGGAGAACACATTTTACAACAATCTTTAAAGGCAAAAAAAGAAAAGTTCAACAAAATTTATCAATTATATATTGACGATATATGTATTGAAAGAAAATATAATTGACAAAATTTGTCATTTAAGGAACATTCCAAAGCAGGTCAGAAATAAGGCAAATTAAAAAAAGCATAGCAATTAAAGTATTGAAGCGGGCAAGAGACGATGGATAGCTGAGCTCTCTTTTACAATAGAATCGAATCGAATCGAATTGAATTGAATCGAATCGAATCGAATCGAATCGAATAGAATAGAATAGAATAGAATATAAATCAAATTAAATAATAAAATATAAATCAAATTAAAAAAAGAATAGAATAGAATAGAATAGAATAGAATAGAATAGAATAGAATAGAATAGAATAGAATAGAATAGAATAGAATAGAATAGAATTCTTTATTGGCCAAGTGTGATTGGACACACAAGGAATTTGTCTTGGTGCATATGCTTTCGATGTACATAAAAAAACATACATTTGTCAAGAATCATAAGAATGATCATAATTTTTTGTTGTTGTTTTGATCTGATCTTTCTTTTCTCTCTCTTTTTTCTCTTTTTTCTCTTTTTTCTTTTTTTTTTTAGATAGGTGACATGACTAAAAGTTAGGTAGTATAGAAAGAAAATATTTTTCACTAAAAGGTAACATGACTAAAAGTCAGAATAAGTGATAGAAATAAGAGAAGAGGGAATGTTAGTGTAGATACTTCTATATAATAAAATAAAGTAACAATAGGAGAAAACATGGATAATAATTGAATAACATATTGCAATTTACTATAATTATGTAGAAATATATGTAGACTGAATGTAATAACTATGATTAATTTACACTAGTTTTATTTGTATTAGAATGTATGATACTCAGGTGCCACACTGTTCATGCATTGATTTCATATGTTTGTAAAAAAGCAACAAATAAAAAAAACCCTTAAAAATAATAATAATTTTAAAAAAATCGAAAGCATAGATTTGTCACAAAGAAAGTTGCCAGGTTAATCTTCTAGCAGGTAGACCAAATGAGAAATGGAACCAATAAGCTAATTCTTGGTGTTTTTTTGTAAGGCTACATTAAAATAATATTTATTTATTTATCCAACTGGTATTCCATTCATCTTATGGTGTGAATCACCACTGCATATTTGAAGATACAAATGTCCCACCAACTCTTTTTAGAGCCTGAGAAATGTCTGAGTTTCTTCCTCTGCCCATTATTCATTTGTAGGCTCCTCTCTCCCTTCTCTGATTACACACTTTAATAGATCGTGGAAATTGCTAGTGATATACTTTGATTTCAGCTAAGTATTAATGAACTAATGAACTAATTCCTGATGTGATGATTAGGAACCTAGGAAAAGGAGGGTTGGGTGGTATGATAATTAAGTGGATAAAACTGTCTTTCAAATTATATGTTTCAAAAACACAAAGCTTCTATAAAAGCATTTATGATTTCCTGATGGAAAAAAATGCTTAAATAAAATCAAATGGAAAATATCTGAGTTTTAACAACTAGTACTTGACAAACTATGGTAGCTCATATAAGAACAAAGCTGTAGGTAGCAGCTACAATGCAGACCATTCATTAAGATTTCAATTTACTTTTCTCATATTATTTTATATGTATACTTCAGTGATTATAATAAATTAGTATTATTTTAATTTGGGTTTTTTTTGATAATAATATAATTAATTTCATAATAATGTAATTAATGATTTGGATGAAAATGAATTGAATGACTACCAATTGGCAGCTCACATCAAACTCTGTGTCTAACGGTACATCTTGCAGAATTAGAGAATAATAGAGTTGGAAGGGACCTTGGAGGTCTTCTAATCTAACCCCATGCTCAGGAAGGATATACCATTCCAGACATGTGGCTGTCTTGTCTCTTCTTAAAAACTGCCAGCGATGGAGCACTCACAACTTCTGAAGGCAAGCCATTCAATTGATTGATAGTTTCTCTTTAGGTTTATGTTGGTTCTCTCCTTGATTAGTTTCCATCCATTGCTTCTTATCTTGCCTTCAAGTGCTTTGGAAAATAAGTTGACCCCCTCTTCTTTGTGGCAGCCCTACAGATACTGGAACACTGCTACCATGTCATCCCTAGTCCTTCTTTTCATTAAGCTAGACATCTTAAATCAAGATGTAAAATTCAAAACACATCTTGATGTCTTATCGAAATAGGCTGAATATAACCTCCAAATGGAATTTAAAAGAGAGAGAAATATGAAGTCTTCCAGACAGAAAAGAAAAAAACTGAATGCATTTTCCAACTAACACAATTGCTTAGTTAGTGAAGGGAGGATACAGTACTCTTTCAGTAACTCAAATTGTTACATAGAAGCTTAAACTCTGCTTAGCATTATTCCAGAGTGTAGGACATCATAAGATAAACTCAGTTGGAAGATTGTGGTTGAATGAGAGGAAAAACTTCCCCAAAGGAGAAGTTTCAGAGTTGAGCTAGTGAACCAGAGACTTGAAGTGTCCCCTTCACTGATTGTCTTCAATGCAAAGACTGAGCAGCTATCAGTCAGAGAAGTTTTAACTGGGATTCCTGCAGAAAGGAGGGATTGAGCTATGTAGTCTAAGTGGTCCCCAATCTTTGTGGTTTAGTGGCCCATTGGGGGGGGTTTAGAAACTGGGCCGCATGAGAGTTGGGCTGGTGCACATCACTGTTTGAATGAGTGGAGGTACATGTTTGCGTGCATGTCTGGGAGTTGGGGAGCTCTGGTCTAAAGTGATCCCTCAAATTTATGAAGGTAAAATTCTGCAATGCTAATCATAAAACCACACATGCAAGATTTTGTTTAGAAATGCGTACATCTTTTTTAAAATTACCCTTGTTTCATATTAAACCATATTTGTCATAGTTCCCACTCTTCGGAATATTATGCCCTGAGTGATTAGATTGGCCAAACTTGTTGGCCTCTTGTAGCATAAGAAGGTTGAGATGGTTCCCCTCTTTCTCCTTTGGATTCCTTCTCAAAAGGAACTACTGTAGTTTTTGGACTATAAGACGCACCTAAATTTAGAAGAGGAAATCAACAAAAAAAGTTTTTGGCCTCCGCAGGATCCATTTTTGGGTCTTTTTTCAGCCCATTTCCGAGGCTTTCTTTGGACCATTTTCAAGGCTTTTGGGGCAGTTTTTGAGGCCTTTTTTGGCCAGTTTTTGAGGCTTTTTTCAGGCCAATTGTTTGCCAAAAACAATTGGCAAAAAACCCTCAAAAATGGGAAGAAAAAATCCTTGAAAAGGGACTGAAAAAATCCTTGAAAATGGGCTGAAAAAAGCCCCAAAAATGGGCTGAAAAAAGCCCAAAAAATGGGCTGAAAAAAATGCTTGAAAAAGACTCGGAAATGAGGCATGCGGAGGCAAAAAAAATGGCCGGTGGGTGGGCGGGACTTTGGCAATATTCAGTCTATAAGACGCAGAGACATTTTCACCCCCTTTTGGGAGACAAAAAAGTGCGTCTTATAGTCCGAAAAATATGGTAAATTGGATGGAACTTACCAAATCCCTTGTTGGGACTTCATACCTGCCATGGCTGCAGTATTGAGGCCCCAAAACTGTCTGTGTCCCTCTTCCTTCTTCTCTTGGATCTGGAGGAATACGCAGCTTTCAAGGCATAAGCCAGAGTCTTAATGGCACTGTAAAAACGGTGGAAATTTCTGGCCTTCTTCAAGTTGCTTTTATTTTGGGTCTCAAATGGTGCCTTCTGAGTGCATCTTCTCCGCCCTTTGACAGAAAAGATGTGTTTTGAAAAGGAACAATGAAACATTTGCTCCTCAAGCGGATGCTCCACAAAGTAATGGTTTACAAAGGCATCTGACATCCGTCTTTTTTTCCTCACAAAACCTAGGGTCCATATAGCATTCACATATTCGATAAGCTTCATGTTGAGCGGAAATAGTCCGATGACTGTTGTGATCCACACTTTCCCTTCAATGGGTCCTGATAAACCATCGAATATTAATTGGAAAGTGAGAAGTCTGTCCCAAATGGCTTGATATTCTATGTAGTGAACGTAGACGTTGACTTGTCTCCACTTAGAGAGGGCTTCCCTAAGGGGTGCTGTGGGTCGAGTTGTTGAGATCTGTTGTGATATAACAACACAGATTCCACTCCTGACAAGCATAGGAGTAAAAGTCCTCATGAAATTTTCTCCATTCTCTGTGTCTGAAGCAAAGAGGCCAATCAAGATCCATCCAAAATACAGAAGCACTTGGACAATTTCTGGGTAGAAGAAGCCTTTTTTGGGGAACAGGGAGTGGTAAAATGGCAAATGACTTTTATCGTGCAGGGACTCTGAAAATAATTCAAAATTCATCTAAAAGAGCAGCAAAGAATATTGTGTTATTTTTGGGATCAGATCAGTTCCAAACTATTAGCTTTAAAGAAATCCAATTTGGTTGTCATAAGCATATTCAAATAATTCACTTTAGATTAATCATTCATATGAAGATACAATTAAAAAAAAAACCAATAAAAAGAAAATACAGTTAAAAGAATAAGAAAAAAGAATGCAAATCATATTTCGGTATCACTCCTATTACTGACCACAATCGGACCCACATATGCAGATGTCAAAGAAATATTTTGGTCAAATAAAGAGCCAGATGATGTGTATTTTTTTTTTATTTTGGCCATAAAGGAAGTATTTTGTTTTCCTATAAGAATTCCAATAGACCATTCATCTAATCTGAAGTTCAAGATGCTGATCCCGCTCAGGCTCTGAATATCCCAGATTTTTTGTGTAGAAATCTTTCTAGGACATTCTCCAGCTGTACCAGAGACAGAAAGACCATAGCTGCTAGTATAATTTGTCAGTTGTACAATTCAAAAGATAATCCATTGGGATTCTTTTCATGAAGCTGGAATGTGGTTACCATTGGAAATATCATTGAAAATATAGCTATTCTTTTTTTTTACAAACAAAACATGAGTTTACCATCTCTGTTGCAACATCCATCTGTATGGAAGATCTTTTGATTGTACATAGAGCCTCTCCTAACCTTCCCAAACATCAAGAAGTAGACCCAAAGCAATGGAGATGATATCACGAGAGGTTACCCCTTCTGCACTATGGATCCCAATCCCTAACCATGACACCTAAAACGGCCATGGTGACAAGCAATGCTTAATTTTAAAGGAGAAGATATGGTTGTATCTATCACTCTTGCATCTTTACCGATAGAAAACACACATACAAACCTGAGGGATTTTGTACGTGCCTCCTAATCTTGACATCTCAACCGTGATGTCATCAGCAGATCCATCAACAAGAGCCAAAATGTTGTCCTTCCTTCCACAGCTGTAGTTGGGAACATTGGCTTCTCCAGTTGAGAGCATGTCCAGCAAGGCATCGGAAGTGCCAAGTATGTTCAAATAGTTGTCATGAATGTTGTAACCAAGTGTGAGATTTCCCAGATACTTTTGGTTGGCCACTTGAATGTTAAAAATGTACTGTAGAAATATTTCTTTACCAGAAGGGTTACTAATTTTAAAAAGTGTTCATGTTATAATGTTATCATCATCATCATCAGTAACAGCAATAACAACATAATTTTCAAATTTAGTCCTCTCTATCTCCACAAGCCTTCCAAGTCTTAAGCTAATATTGACCCAAAATCAAATGCAATTACCCATCACAATTTGCTTTTAATGAATTTTGGGAAGATGGGATTCAAATGATTCTTCCATTATGGTTAAGAATCAGAAACACAGCATTATTTGAAGAGTACTAATTTTTATCTGCCCAATGATGTCATTCAATCATTAAAGTAGAACCATCATAATAGCAAGAGACTGTTTTATCAGTAACTCTGAAAATAAATTGCATATATACAGACACACGTGTATGTATTTGTGTGTGTGTATACAAATACATACATACATATATACTACATACATATAAAACCATTCTCTATTCCTATAAGTATTAGGTATTGAATATGAATAATCAGAGCAATCCATTACTTTAAACTAAAGTCAATATTCAAGTGAACTACTCAGGTTTGAACTGGGAAAGTTTGAATCTCTTCCCCAAAATATGACAAAAAATAGAAATCATGGGAATCAAAATGATTTGGGAAATTAGCCATATTTGGAATAAGGGAAATAAGAAGAAAAGAAGGAGAACGTTAGAAAGGCAAATGGAAGGAATGCATCACATTGAATGACTTACAAGCTTCCCTGAATAGCAGGAGCCCTGTTGAATGGCAATATTGCATTATGCGATATTTTTGTTGTGGTGGTGATCATAGTAACCAGATGATCTCCTGGTCTGTAAAAGCTCCTTGGTCTTTTTTCATCCCGGTACTCCAAATTCAGTGGGCACTTCGTTCCAAGCTTCTCTGAGTTTGGCTGGAAGATCAGCAGCATCAGAACCAGGAGCAGGAGGTCCATGATTCATGGGCTGAATCGATGCCCTTCCTGTTTCTAAGCAAGAACAAGAAGAATTAGAATTCAAAGCTTCCTCACAAGATGGAAATGCCAGTGGCTTTCCTGATTGAGACAGAGAGAAACTGAGTTTCACCTAGAAAGGAGAGAAAGAGATACTCAAAAGCACCGCCCAGCCTGTCCCTTAACTTGTGCCACACAGAATATGACCTGAGGTATTTATCCTTTTCTGATGCAAGACCCCTTTCATCTTTCCTCAGTTTGATGTTTACATCAAAGTCAAGAAGTAGCAGAAGAGATCTCAAAGACCAGAATTGTGAAAATTACAGTGAGAAGAAACTTCTCCTCTTGGGACCCTGAACTTCTTCCAGGGCTCCACGTGTAAAGGGACAGCTGTAGAAAAGTGTCTTAGTGAAAAATCACAAATCCACCTCTGAGGGCACTCTTCTGTAGTGATTGTGGTCCTTCCTGTCAGGACATGTTGAGAAAGTGGTGCTGGAGGAAGATAGTTCCTTTTGGAGACAATATGCCATATTGAAGGACATTATCTATGTCCTTCAATATGGGATCTTGTCTCCAGAGACCACTGGAGATAACATCAGCCAAAGCTATGGAGTTTGGTGACATTCTAAGTTGGTGGCACTTAACTCTACTGGTCTCTTGTCTTCTAATGCCAATTAAGAAATCAGTAACATTGAACCCTGTCTAATGTTAAGAGTAGGACCTGCTTGGCATTTTCTTTCTATTAGATCTCCATATAGGAAACCTAATTGGAACTGATTTTCAAATTGCTTGTGACAGAAATGAAATTTTATTTACCTTCTTTTCTATCAATTATATATCAATTATCTATATAGTTTTATAGTGGAAGGTTGCTTTGAAATGTTATATTAATATATATAAAAGATTTGAATTAAGAGATATATGTATGGGGGAGGAGAAAAAGGGTAGATTATGAGTAGAAATTGCTAAACTGGGGGATATAATGACCTTTTTATTCCATCAGGCGGGCTTGGCCTAATTTTCTTCCCTTTTTAAATATGTAAATTTTAATCTGTTTTTAAATTATTGGGGTGTTTTAATCTGTCTGGGCCAAAATGATTTAATTTGATTTTATCTGGTTTTTAAATTTTTTGTATTTATGTATTTTATTGTTGGCTGTTCACCGCCCTGAGTACTTCGGGAGTAGGGCGGTATACAAATCAAATAAACCTAAACCTAAACCTAAATTAGGAGTTATTATATAATGTTATGGTTGAATGTTATTTTGAAATGTATAGTATAAGGGGGATATAATAATATTATTAGAAAGAAAGGGTCAGCGTATGGGGGGTGGAGCAAGGGGATGGTAAAGTATTATATAATCTGTTATGAATTTGGGTTTTATTTTGGAGAAGCCACAGGGGGAGGGGAGGGGGAGGGGGGAGGGAGGAGGGGGGGAAAAGGGGGAAAAATTTGTATTTGAAAAACTTTTTCAATAAAAAAATATTATATATCAATTATCTATCAAAATATCAATTTTTGCAAGAGAATTGACTAAAAGCAGGGAAATGACAGATTGTGGTCTATACCATGTCTGAAGTGGTGTAGGGTTTCCTGCCTAGGCAGGGGATTGGACTAGAAGATCTCCAAGGTCCCTTCCAACTCTGTTATTCTGTTATTTTTTCCACTTGGTGTAAGACATTGAGAAACTCCATATTTTAAAGTTTTTTTTTTAAATTTACTAAATTATCAGAGGGCTGTGATGGTTTTTTTATATAGTTTATTTATACAGTTATTTATACAGAACTATATATATATATATATAGTTCAATTAATATACATAAGTGCTTTGTGAATAGTGTATTGCCTTGGTCAATTGCTTACATAATAATGTTTTCCCGTCTCCTAATTTCTATTTCTATTATCCAACCTTTAATAAAACAAATCCCATATTTGAAAATATTCCGTATCTTCCTTCTCTTTTATCTTTAATGTCAGTCTATCCATTTCTGTGCAGTCTAATTGTTTTTTTAATTACATCTTCTCTCAGTGTTTCCTCATTTTTCCTATACTGTGCAAATATGAGGGCTGTGATGTTTATAGCTGTGATGAAGTTTGAAGTTTGAAGTTATTAGATTTCTATACCGCCCTTCTCCCGAAGGACTCAGGCCAGTGTACAGCCATATTAAAACACATAGATTTATAAAATTAAAAACCAAATTAAAATCAATATATAAAATTGGCCCGCAAATTAAAACACACATACACCCATAATAAAATTCGTATTAGGCGAGTCTGGCTTGCTGGAACAGGAGGGTCTTAAGGGCGCGGCGAAAAGTATGCAGGTCAGGGCTAAGATGGAGCTCTAGGGGCAGCTCATTCCAGAGGGCTGGTGCCCCACAGAGAAGGCTCTCCCCCTGGGTGTCGCCAGTCAACATTGTTTGGCCAACGGCACCCTGAGGAGCCCCTCTCTGTGGGAGCATATTGGCCGGTGGGAGGTTGTTGATGGCAGAAGGCGGTCTCATATATACCCCGGTCCTAAGTCATGGAGCACTTTAAAGGTGGTGACCAACACCTTGAATCGCACCCGGAAGACCACCGGGAGCCAGTGCAGCTTGCGCAGGAGGGGTGTTATGTGGGTGCACCGAGTCGCACCCATAACCACCCATGCGGCTGCATTCTGGACCAGTTGGAGCCTCCGGGTGCTCTTCAAGGGGAGCCCCATGTAGAGAGCATTGCAGTAGTCCAGACGTGAAGTGACAAGGGCATGAGTGACCATGCGCAGGGCATCCGGGTCCAGAAAGGGACACAACTGGTGCATCAGGCGAACCCGATAGAAAGCTGCCCTGGCCATGGCTGTCATATGATCTTCCAAAGACAGCTGTGCATCCAGGAGAACACCCAAGTTGTGAGCCCTCTCTGTGGGGGCCAGGATCTCGCCCCCAATAGTCAGCGATGGAGTCAGCTGACTGTACCGGGACACTGGAAGCCACAGCCACTCGGTCTTGGAAGGGTTGAGCTTGAGCTTGTTTCTCCCCATCCAGATCCACATGGCCTCCAGGTAACGAGACATCACATCAAGGGCTGCAACTGGCATATCAGGCTGACCTGATAAAAAGCCCCCCTGGCCACGGCCATCATATGCTCTTCTAAAGACATCTGTGTATCCAGGAGGACGCCCAAGTTGCGAGCCCTCTCCGTGAGGGCCAATGATTCACCCCCAATAACCAGCGATGGCACCAGCTGGCTATATCGGGATGCCGGAAGCCACAGCCACTCGGTCTTGGAAGAGTTGAGTCAAAGTCTGTTTCTCCCCATCCAGGTAGCAGAAATCACAGGTGGGCCCACCCACCCACTGCGGCTCTATGCGATCCTATTTAGGCATGTTTTTGAGGCCAGGCGCATGTGTGGAAGGCACCCGTGTGAGCATAGTGCTAAAATTGTAGGATGAGCCAGGAATTCTCTACATTTAAAGCTTTCTGACTCAGGACCAGGGATGAGCTGCTGGGGTTCGCTGGGGTTCGGGAGAACCTCTAGCTAAGATTCTGTGCAGTTCAGAGAACTCCCAAATCCCACTCCTGGCTGGCCCTTCCCTTCCCGCCCCTCCAGGAGTCCCCACGCGGCTGGAATTAGATGCAGATAAGTGCAGGGTGTGCATGGAGGCTTGGGGAGGGCGAAAAACGAGCCTACCGGAAGTTTGGGAAGGCTGAAAATGGCCCCATTTCCGGACTCCAGAGGGCCTCCGGAGCCTGGGGAGGCCATTTTTGCCCTCCTGGAGGCTCAAGGAAAGCCTGCGGAGCCCAGGAAGGGAAAAAAATGCCCCCCTGCCATGGTGCAGGAGGCCGACTAGGCCACACCCACCATGGCCACACCTACCCAGCAACTAGGCAGAGACTGGATACAACTTTGTATTATTCCTTGTATTTGCCATTCACTGAACCAGTTTCAAAAGTGGTCCCCTGGAGAGAAAAAAGGAAGGAAGAAATCCACAGCACTTCCATAATTATAGGGGAGAAGTTGTACACCCGTCACAGTTCCTTTGCAGAGCTGGAAGTGAGCCAGTAAACAAGAACTCAATTCCAAAGACACAGAGACACTCTCCCATTTTGTGTGTGTGTGTGTGTGATTTTTTTTTTTAACTCTGCAAAGTTTTAATGACTGAACTTGATTTTGGACTTGCCACACAGTTGCATCAGTTTTTTTGTGGTGGTTCCCTTGAGCATCAGCTTTCAAAGTAAAGAATATTTTTCCTCCCACTTAGCAGGCAGCTATTTCAGATCTGTGACATGCTCAGGAATTAAATAGTCCCCAGAGTTTTCTCTTTAATCTCTGTGACAACAAACATCAGATTTCTTTTTCTTTTTTTCAGTCACAGTTGCCATGTATTCCCTCTGGGATCAGTTTCAAGAATGGAGCTCTCAAATCTCTCAATTCTTGATGACTTATTTAAGTCTCCCTCTGCTGTATAATTTTGAACTGGGGGACTTATGGTAAAATAATATCTTTTGATTTTGATGATCCTAACCTCAAGTCTAAAGTAGAGCTGGAATCAGAAGGACGTCTTTGCCACTGGTTTACATATCTACAATTGAAAGAAAGCAGTGATGAAATTCATTTTTTTTTAGTACCGGTTCTGTGGGTGTGGCTTTGTTGGGCATGGTGTGTCTTGGTGGGCGTGGCTTGGTGGGCATGATCATTGGCCCCCACGGAAAGGGCTCGCAACTTGGGCGTCCTCCTGGATTCACGGCTGTCTTTAGAAGAGCACTTGACGGCCATGACCAGGAGGATTTTTCATCAGGTTCTCCTGATCCGCCAGTTGTGTCCCTTTCTAGATCGGGACTCTCTACACACAGTCACTCATGCCCTTGTCACCTCTCGTCTGGACTATTGTAACGCTCTCTACATGGGGCTCCCCTTG